ATGGTCGTGATGGACAAGTATTTCCAGAACCAAAGCACCTATGACTTGCTGTACTGTACATGTTTGTGTTCCATATAGGCTGATTCACGTTATTAAATCTGAAATGAATTCAAAAATGATTTTAAGCAATCAATAAAACTAACCTTGAGGTGTGATTAAATTTGTCATAACCATCATATCCCAGTTGCTTGCAAATAGTGTTGGCATCAGTAGAGTCAAACCCATCACTGCATATTGTCCCCCACTGCCCAGTACAATAAACTTTAACAAGTCCTTCATTAGAATAATCTCCACCTTGAAGACGTATCATACCAGCATATGGATTACTGTTCCAGATTCTAGTAGTATCTGTAATAATACTGATTAATACACTGTAACATGAAAAATATCTTACAGCAGTATACAGTAGCATCATAACTGTTACTATTATAACAACCACTGTCAATGTAAGTAGAATAGGAACACTGAGCAATAGACAAATAGCTGCTACTGACACAGTTAACATCATCCCATTTCATAAAAAGATAGTCTGTACCATAACTAAAAAACAATAGTAACTATAACTGCAAGTAGCAAACACACCTCACACGACCAGCTCTAGAGTAGCTTGAAGCTCCAGTGTATCCCAACTGATGACAAATGACATTAGCTTCAGCTGAATTATAATAGTAGTCATTACAAATGTTACCCCATCCATTATAATAGACTCTAATTGTTCCATAGTAATAAGTAGTTGATGATATATTGTTACGAGACAAAACAATAGCTCCATTAACAGCATCAGGGACACCATCTATAATTAAGAGTCACTAAGTTGATTGGGACATTGTGCTATAACAATGTTGGCTTAAATTTGTAATAAGTGGACAATTGTTGGATTACCATAGAGTGACTTTAATGATGAGAAAAATGTTGAAATTTTATGGCTACTATTTTTATCTGTTACCAATTACATACATAACTGATAAATAGCAATTTCTTTATTCTATTAAGGAAATGATTAATTAATAGCACCCTAACATGAACATAATAGATACTCATTGCCTGATATTTTAACCTGAAGTTTTAAGCTAAAAATTCCAAACTACATGTACATGTGTATCAATGAATTTGTAATACAAAACTTGAATTTAAATAGCAGGCAGGATGTGATGAGTTTGATCATTGGTAGTACAATGCAACAACAAAGTGACTGAAAGATGCATTGGTATACAGGGCAGTAAGCAGCAACAAGGACTCTCATTATAAAAGACAAGTAACTACATGTAACTAGTGTCTAGAATAATTGCACATCAACTGAAGAGCAACCCACCCTCTAGTATTGATGGACTGTTATTATTTTCTACATGTACACATACAGTTGCTATCATTGATTATCGTCTATAATAATGTACAATATTTCAATTAGCTTTGCTATTATTATTATTGAAAAAAATCAGTTTAAATCAAGAGTACATATGTACTCTTGTTTATATCATATGGCAGAATAATGTCACATACAAGTACCAATGTCATATTACATGAATATAATAGACTAACCTAATACATGTGAGCATGATGCCTTTGTATTTGTAACAACAGAGATTGAAGAGGTGTCACCTACAAAAATATAATAAAAATAGACAAAAATATTGTTTCAAGAGTAGTTAACAGAGCATGGATGGACAAAAATTACTGCAAAATTACAAAACATACTGCACTTCAAAAATAGATCATTAAGATGAGAGCAGTTAGTGACTGAATTTATTGGACAGCTATTGCTTGACCCATAACACACATCATAAGATGTACTGTACATACTGTCACTCCATATAGGCTGACTAGAGTTACTAGGTCTATAAACATGACATAAACAACTGATAATAAAAATAAATTGCTTACAGTGCAGAAAAAGTTGAATAGCTTTTAAAGCCTAGTTGCTTACAAAGTGTAGTAGCATCATACCCATCAACCCCATCACTACATATTGTCCCCCACTGTCCATTACAATAAACCTCAACACGTCCTTCATTAGAATAATCTCCATCTTGAAGACGTATCATACCAGAGAATGGATTACTATCCCAGATTCTAGTGGTATCTATAGAATTTCATAGTAAAACACAATGTAGAAAATGACTAAATATCTTACAGCAATATACAGTAGCATCATAACTGTTACTATTGACACAACCACTGTCAATGATAGTAGAATGAGAACACTGAAAGATAGAAAGATAGTCACTATCACCACAGTTGACATCATCCCATTTCATTCGAAGATAGTCTGTACCATAACTA